ACAAATCAACATAATTTTTTTTATACTAAAACCTTAGATATTTACCTTTTATTTGATATCATTTCTTTTGTAAATCTATCACTTAACCTGCTCATTAGGGGGGATTTAAAATAGCATTTTTTTTACAAAAATTAACTTTTTTAACTTAATTTTTGAAAATGTTCCGGAAATACTGCGTCCTTCAAACATATATCAAATTAAAGCTTATTTTATGTACTATNTACAGAAAAAGTCTTTTAAACATGTAGGATGACTGTTAGACATTTTAGGACTATAGGAAATTTATAACCACAGGGTCTTAATCTAATCAACAAACAACTGAGATGTTTTTTATTTTAACTCTTTTTTTTTACATAGCCTTGTTTAAATGTTCCGAAAGTCCACCATTTTAATAAATAGACCGAATGTGTTGCGTGGGTGGTTATAACATTAAAATGCAGTAACAGATGATCGGTTAATAGGACTGATGAAAAAGAACAATATTTTTCGTAATCTTTCTAAAAGAAAAATAAAAAAATAACTAAAATGAAAAATGTTCAATTGTTTTTGGTAAAAGAGTGTCTCAACCAATATCAATCACTCTATATAGTTACAAATACTTCATGAAACTCCAATTTTGAAATAAGTACAAGTTATAATAACGAGTTATAATAACAAAAGTAATTTACTGTGATTACAGACATAAAACTTGATATATTTACTTGGATATTTTCTAATTTTTTTTAAAACCTTTTTTTTTGCATTATTATTAACCGATGGATGTGAATTAAACAGATTTATAAATGCAATTTTATCTGTGGTGCTATTGCCAATACTTGCCATTATTCGTGTGCATTCTTCGGCTTCGGTTGTAGATACATACTGAAAAAAAATGTATAAAAAAAAATTCATTTAAATATTATTGTTTAATAGTACAATAAGAACTTTATTTTACTAAAAGATTTAAGGTCACAAAATTTTTGAAACATAATTAATATTTTCAAATCTTTTTTAATACAAGTGTCATGTTATACCTAGTATATCATTATTAATGAATCACACAATATTAAATGTAAACCAATAAAAATAAGATATATGTATATATGTACTATTTAAATGTTTAATTATACTAATGAAATTTCGTAGAAAAAAGCATAAATTAATTAAAATAAAAGAAACTAGAAATAATCAAAATAACGTGTAAGATTTTATAGAACAAATGGTAGAATATTATAAAATGTACATCATTAATGACGATAATGTAATAAATAACATGTAATAAATTACGATTAATAAAGAAATAATGGTAGCTTTGTTGATCACTTCTTGCCTTTGAACCAACTATCAAATCAAATATAAAAAGCCAAAAATAATGAGCATTCTGAATCAGATGTCACTCTGATGGTGGTCAGAATGCTCTCACTTGCTCAGATGCGGTCAAATATTCACAGAGGCCCTCACTACGCTCAATTATTCCACACCTTCATAACGAAATATATGCCAGAAGTGATCCACCGTCTCTACAATTATATTTGTACAAGAATACAATATCTATTTAATTAAAAGTGTCAAAGAAAATATCAAGGTAGGAATCTAATAATTTCACCAAAAATATATAAGGTATATTTTATATAAGGTATAAAATATATAAAAATTAAACTTTATGAGTACATAGATTAAGTAGGCATTCAGGAAAATCAAGTGATCATCAATAATAAGAAATATACCAAGTAAATTTAATAAATCGATAATGTTTGTACAGAGTTACTTGGCAGATTTATATCTTTGATATGTTTCTATTTCAGTAATTAGGTTGGAGGTTCTATGTATAGCCACCATACCATTCTGGTTGGACACACGAGGTGACTCAATCCCAACTATCATCGATGACCGTCAAAACTGGTGGAATTATTGATATTAATGAACCGAAAATTAATCACAATAAATCTCATATTAACAGAATAAAGATCACTTTATTTTTCTATCATCTTCTAACTTTCTTACAGACCCTTGTACTCATACCCCGAATAATACTATTATTAATACAATAAANCCGAATAATACTATTATTAATACACTAAAATAGTAGCTTAAAAAAAAAAACCCACCCGGTCATATTTATTTAATTAATTCTCTCCTTTTAAGTTACTACAAAGTTATTTTTGAGTCACTTCAAATGGCGCCCAACAACAGGCTTAGTTAAATTTTACTAAGAGTCCAGTATAAAAAAATAATCACAAAATTAAAGTATTTGAATTTTTTTTTTAATAAAAAATTACTAAACTTTAAATACTTTAACGAAATAATTTTTGTATTGAAAATTTTCTATTAATATAAAATAAAAACAAATTTAATTAATAAAAAGTAAAGGGTTTTGGAAGGGTCATATTTAATTTATATTATTCTATATTTTAAAGTTATTACAAGTGGTGGTCTTTTTGAGTCACTACAAAATGGCAACGGCTGCATTTTCAAAAAAGAGTATACAAAAAAATATACGTCTAAGGTATTTTTACAAATATTGTTAAGGTTCATACATTGATCAAAAAGTTATATAAATTCAAATTTCTAAGTGAAAACTTTTTAAAATTTGTCTATTTTATTAATCTACTTTTCAGGTTTTTTTTTACATTCTATTAGAGGCTAATGTGTAAAAAAAATTATTATTAAATTATATTAGACAAATTTTATGTACTTATATATTGTAAGTATACCAAACATTTTTCTAAAAAATTATTCTTTCGCCTTAAATCGTATAATTTTTGTAGAAAATAATAATTACCCGATACTGTTGATCGTCTTCGCTTATTCTTGACGAGGATTTAGAAGAATGGTAATGACCAAAAAGAATTATTAAAACGATTAATGAATTCATTTTATCAAAATATATTAATTTATTACTTATTTGAATTGTATTAAATGTACTTCTTTTGGTAAATGTCTGAGAGCGATTGACTTTAAAGTAAGAAAATAAACACGTAATATAATTATAAGTTTAAAATAATGAGTATATATATCAAGTGTGATACTTACGTCACCAATAACTAAAATGTCATAACTCAAAAATATAATAAAAAATAAAATAAAAATAATATATAGAGGAAAAAAGGGTTAGAATGATTATTATTGTTAGTGTAAAAAATGTGTAAGGGAGAGTTACTTTTGATTCTGGGTGTAATTCGAGGGTCATAAAATAACAATGTAAAAATAAACTTACCTGGTTCCCGGGTCTCTGGTTTTTACAATTATCCTTAGTGATGATATCGGTGAAAATGATAAATAAATACACAAGTTCAGATTTTTAGTTCACAAATTAACACATAAAATTTCGACAATAACGATTACGACGTTTGTATGACTTAACGCGGAGCACGATAAAAACAGCGCGATACGGACCACGAATAGAGCAGCCCAATACGGAGTATGAAATGAACAGCCCAATACAGAGCACGAAATGAACAGCCAGGATCAAGGGTTTGCTCTGGCTTTTTATAATATTTTTTTGCCCCCAAAAATCGTCACTGTCGAATTTTTAGTATAATTGTTTATTGATAAATAAGCATGAAACACAGAGATCAATACAGATGAATAGAACATAAATTATTTTGACATTTGCATATATAACATTAACATGTTTTTTTACAAGCAAGACGAAAATTGATACAATGCATTTAACTATTAATAGTAGAATAACAAAGATGACAAAAATAATATATAGATTTTCTTTTGGTGAGGAAGGATTTTTAAAAGTAATTATTAATTGATTTATGACCGAACCGCATGCACTACAATGTAGTTAAACAGTGTGAGTTTTTTGACTATTTCTCTTGAATGTTTATCTAAGTTTTTGTTCGAAAAGGATGTCCTTGTAAAAATATAATGTATAATGAAACAAGTTAAAATGTACCATTTCTATGGATAGAAGTGGTGACTATTTGAAATTAAAAAGGAATATACTAATAAATACTGAAAAGATAGCATTATTGAGTACATGAACAGGGTATTTTAGTGTTGTCTCGTATAAATAATCATGACGATTATATTACGACAAAAATATAAGAATAAGATAAAAAATATAAAAATAAAAAAGCATTACGAGTTTCATTGAACAGTTGGTACTAAATAACAAGAATCTTGGAATGTATTATAGAATTTTTCAATTGATCTACCGAGTAATAAAAAAAATTTGGAGTGTACAAATATTACAAAGGGGAAATTGACTGACTAGTTAGGACCTCTTAACTTATGTTTCTGAATAATTATAAGACTTATATTTTTCAGTATCTGAGCTAGTTTAATTGATTATAAAAAAAAATTATTTAATATAGGAGTTTCAGTTTCATATACAAATAAAAAATATCATATTTCCACATTTTAATTTTATTTAGAAAAATTTCATAGCTCTACACTAATTTTCAGGGCTTATTTTAACGGGTAGTAGAACCTGAATTGGTCGTTGAAAACATAATTTGGGTAGTTGAAGATTCAAAATTGGGTAGTAGATTTTTTTCACCTGTAGGAAACTAGGTAAATTCTAATAATAAAATATTGAAGCCATAAATTTATATAAATAAAAATTGAAAGTTATCAAATTAAAAACGTTTTTTAACTTAAAAGTTTAAGCACATATTTTAATTTTTAACAAATCGTAATGTATTTTTATTATATATTAGAAAAAAGACTGGCAACGGTATGATCGCATTGCGAACGTATAAGTTTTCTATAGACCTATACGTCGTAAGACGACTTCGTGTGCGCGATGCGCATTGTGGCATTGTGTAGTAGTCGATATAGTATAGTAATGTACGATATCGGTAATGTCGTCGTGCCGTCGTTAAAACCCATTTAAAAATAAATAAAACGCACAGTATCGCAAGACACGGTCGTATTGAAACCAAACACTAATTTTATCTGTTTATTTTATCATAATTGTATCAATATTATAAAAAATGACTAAAGATAATAATAGTAAATTTGTTTANTATAATTGTATCAATATTATAAAAAATGACTAAAGATAATAATAGTAAATTTGTTTATTTAAAAATAAAAATTTGTTTTATACAAAACTTAAATTCACATTTTTTATTATTACAATATTTCATATTTAGTTCAGTTATGTAATGTTTAATCTTTTAATATAATCATAACAAATAAACATTATTTCTGATCTATAATAATCCATGTTGTTGTCTTTGAGTTACATGCTGTCATAAAAATATTATTTAATTTATATTTTGTTTTGAAATTAAACACGGAAAACACTTTTCTAAACAAGAAGGTTCCTTTTGTAGATTTAAACATTCGAACATTTGTGTAGGATAAAATTCCATGCCATCTAAAAATCAAATCTATTAAATTAATATTTTATGTAATGGTATTAATTTAAATTTAATAGAAGGGCTCAATAAATCTGTGCTAATATAATTCAAAATTAAAATATATATTATAAAATATTAAAAATATTAATTTTAAAATTAAAAAAAATTTAAAACTTTTAAATCAAAATCCACAAAAATGACTAAAAAATCGCGATTACGCATTTCAGGGACAGTGTTACCGATATAAACGTTAAACTTATATCCCAAAAAAAAAGTATGTGCTTAGCGTTGATAATGGTAAAATAAATAAATATTGGTATAAGTATACAACCATTTTAGATCAATATATATATATATATAAGTATTAAGATTATCCTAATCTTTTAGTAGATTGTATCATTACAACAAGGTGCATGTACTAAGTAAAAAAAAAATTTAAAAATTTTTCATGCTGTTACATTTAGCTTTATTCTGTATGTGCAACGATCACCAAAAATTATACATTAAATTTATTGTAATACAGAAAAAGTCTTTTAAACGTGTAGGATGATCAAATATAAATGATAAAATGCAGTAACGGATGAACGGTCAATAGGACTGATAAAAAAGAACAATATATTTCGTAATGTTTCTAAAAGAAAAATTATAAAAAAATATTTATCCATATACTATTGAGTAGTTTTTTTGACCAAATAATTCGTTACTAAAATGAAAAATGTTCAATAGTTTTTGGTAAAAGAGTGTCTCAACCAATATCAATCACTCTGTATAGTTAAAAATACTTCATAAAACTCTAGTTTTGAAATAAGTACAAGTTATAATAATGAGTTTTAATAAGAAATGTAATTTACTGTGATTACAGACATAAAACTTGATATATTTACTTGGATAATTTCTAATTTTATCCAAAACTTTTGGTTTTGCATTATTATTAACCGATGAATGTGAATTAAACAGCTTTATAAATTCATTTTTATCTGTGATGATAGTGCCAACATTTGCCATTATTGTTTTGCATTCGTCGGCTTCGTTGTTAGATATATACTAAAAAAAAAAAATGTATAAAAAAAAATTCATTTAAATATTATTGTATAATAGTACAATAAGAACTTTATTTTACTAAAAGATTTAAGGTTACAAAATTTTTGAAACATAATTAAAAATCTAGTCAAGAAATCACTTTAAATGCAAATGTTGCTATTTTTAATCTTTTTTCATAAAAGAGTTATATCTTTGATATGTGTCATTTCAGTAATTAGGTTGGAGGTTCATATATACAGTGTGGCCCACATAAAATTATATATTGAAGGATATTTAATAAAGCCAACCAATATCTCGGAAATTATCAGTATGAATTCAAAAAATAAAAAGGAACTAGAGAGGATTTTAATAGAAAAACAAATATCTCGAAATAAAATCACATGCTTATCATTTAAAAATATCGAAAAAGCTTTCGACAACATAGATTGGCAAATTATATTCTCAATAATGAAAGAATTAAATTTAGATTTTAAAGACAGGATAATTATTTATAACATCTACAAAAATCAAAGTACAGAAATTACAATAAATAATGAGTCAGCTAGTGCGAAAATATGTAGAGGTGTAAGACAAGGGTGTCCACTTTCACCATTATTATTCAACTACTACATAGAAAAAAGCATAACCGAAGTTAAAGATAAACTTAACAGGCTTGGCATTAGAATCAAAGTGGGTGATATATTAATTCCAACGATCCAATTTGCAGACGACATCGTAATATTAAAAGAAACAGAGCACGACCTTCAGAGAGCCCTGACAGAAATGCAAGTAATTATAAATAAGTATCAAATTCGTATAAATTCAGGTAAAACAAAAATTTTAGTTTGTGCTCGTTAACCCACAAATAACGCAAATATTTATTTAGAAAACAAACTTATTTCCCAAGTTACTAGTTTTAAATACTTGAGAAGTTTAATAACATCAGACTGAAGAAGTACGGAGGAAATTAAACAAAAAATAGGGCAAGCAAAGACAGCCTTTATCAAGAAAAAGAAAATTTTGGTTTCGGGAAAAATTAGCAGAGCAATAAAAAAGACCTTTTTAAAAACGTTTGTATGGAGTGTTGCTTTATACGGCTGCAAGACATGGGTTATTAATGAAAAGGAAAAAGATCCCTTGAAGCATTCGAAATGTGGTGTTGGAGACGAATAGAAAAAATAAACTGGACAGAAAGAGTAACAAATGAAGATGTACTCTGACCCAAATTGGAGATACAATATCCATAATTAAAGCTATAAAGCGACGACATGATGGGACACCGTTTTACGCCATGACGAAGAATTGCATCAACTATAATAGAAGTTGCAATTACTTGAAATAAACCACCAAGAAGACCAAGGAACTCATACATATCTGAACTGAAAAATAAATTTATACTTACGCCGGATTAAAAAGACTTGCTGAAGATCGTGATAAATGGAGAACGAGGTTAAAAACGTTGTAAACCAATCTAATATAGGTTGAAAAAAAAATGGTAACAATGTCCCTGAAATACGTAACCACAATGTTTTAGTATTTTTGTTGTTTTTGATTTAAAAGTTTTTTATTTTTTAAAGTATTTAAAATATGATTTCAATAATACTTGGCAAAGTTTTTTTGTGCCTTTCTATAGAATTTAAATTATTGCTATTATATAAAATATAAAATAATAATTTATTAGTTTAATAAAATTGATTTTTAGATTGTATGAAATTTGGAACTAAACAAATGTTTGAATTTTTAAATCTTCATAAAGAACCTTCTTGTTTAGAAAAATATTTTCCGTGCATAAATTAAAAAAGAAAAATGGATTAAAAATATTGTTATGACAACATGTAACTCAAAGACAACAACATGGATTATTATAAAACAAATTTTTATTTTTAAATAAACAAATTTACTATTATTATCTTTAGTCATTTTTTTATTGGACACGCGTTATTAAGGTATTGTATTTGGCAATTACTTTCTGTCATTACACGCTTATTAGACGATTTCATTATTTTGGTGTCTACCAGCTTGCTATGATTATTGTTTTCCATACTGGTATGCCTTATTTTGCCGTTGAGCAGACTAGGATTAGTTTTATATACATAACGCTATGGTGTTTACGTATGTTATAGTCCTAGCTATANTAGAGGCTAATGTGTAAAAAAAATTATTATTAAATTATATTAGACAAATTTTATGTACTTATATATTGTAAGTATACCAAATATTTTTCTAAAAAATTATTCTTTCGCCTTAAATTATACATCGTATAATTTTTTTAGAAAATAATAATTACCTTAAACTGTGAATATTTTAATGTTTGGACTTCGCTTACGCGTGGCGTGGATTCAGAAGAATAGTAATGACCAAAAAGAATTATTACAACGATTAATGAATTCATTTTAATAAAATATACTAAAATATTACTAATTTGAATTGTATTAAATGTACTTCTTTTAGTAAATGTCTGAGAGCGATTGACTTTAAAGTAAGAAAATAAACACATAATATAATTATAAGTTTAAAATAATAAGTATATACACCAAGTGTGATACTTACGTCACCATTAACTAAACTATAAGAATAAGATAAAAAATATGATACGTGTATATTTGAACAGTTGGTACTAAATAACAAGAATCTTGGGATGTATTATAGAATTTCTCTATTGATCTACCAAGTAATTAAAAAAATTTGAAGTGTATAAATATTTCAAAGGGGAAATTGACTGACTGGTAACCTCCTAACTTATGTTCCTGAATAATTATTAGGCTTATATTTTTCAGTATCGGAGCTAATTCAATTGATAATAAAAAAAAAAAACCCCAGAACAGTGGGGTCGAGGCATAGTGGAGACGTTGCATAGTTGGGTCCAGTGTAGATTTAATCTGACAGTGATTAAAATCACTATTATAAGAAACGCTTTGATGCAAATCTGTAGATTTTAAATTAAAGTGTTTAATTCTAAAAAAATTTATAGATAATTACAAAAGCAACATCAACTTTTATTTCCTTAATTATACCTAGATTAGTAATTCTTTTAATTATATATTATATAATTTTTAAAATTAATTGTTTTCAAATTATTATTAATTATGATTTTTAATATATTAATAGTAAGAATAAATTCCTAAGGTGCCCTAAAAATATCGTTGAAATCTGTAAGATTTTGATCCAGTTTATTTTTGTAAGTCCACGCCCGTAATTTTTAGTAAGATATGATTTTGTATTGTGCTTGTTCATTGTTTTTAATATTATGTTAGTTAAAGTAGTTTTCACTATTAATACAGCATTTAAAGATAGTTTTTAACGATCATTGAATTTTCTTCTTCCTACTTGTTGTTTTAATAAGTAATAATAAGTAAGTTATTATGAAGTATAATTGTGAATACACCTATAGCTAGGACTATAACATACGTAAACACCATAGCGTTATGTATATAAAACTAATCCTAGTCTGCTCAACGGCAAAATAAGGCATACCAGTATGGAAAACAATAATCATAGCAAGCTGGTAGACACCAAAATAATGAAATCGTCTAATAAGCGTGTAATGACAGAAAGTAATTGCCAAATACAATACCTTAATAACGCGTGTCCAATAAAAAAATGACTAAAGATAATAATAGTAAATTTGTTTATTTAAAAATAAAAATTTGTTTTATAATAATCCATGTTGTTGTCTTTGAGTTACATGTTGTCATAACAATATTTTTAATCCATTTTTCTTTTTTAATTTATGCACGGAAAATATTTTTCTAAACAAGAAGGTTCTTTATGAAGATTTAAAAATTCAAACATTTGTTTAGTTCCAAATTTCATACAATCTAAAAATCAATTTTATTAAACTAATAAATTATTATTTTATATTTTATATAATAGCAATAATTTAAATTCTATAGAAAGGCACAAAAAAACTTTGCCAAGTATTATTGAAATCATATTTTAAATACTTTAAAAAATAAAAAACTTTTAAATCAAAAACAACAAAAATACTAAAACATTGTGGTTACGTATTTCAGGGACATTGTTACCATTTTTTTTTCAACCTATATTAGATTGGTTTACAACGTTTTTAACCTCGTTCTCCATTTATCACGATCTTCAGCAAGTCTTTTTAATCCGGCGTAAGTATAAATTTATTTTTCAGTTCAGATATGTATGAGTTCCTTGGTCTTCTTGGTGGTTTATTTCAAGTAATTGCAACTTCTATTATAGTTGATGCAATTCTTCGTCATGGCGTAAAACGGTGTCCCATCATGTCGTCGCTTTATAGCTTTAATTATGGATATTGTATCTCCAATTTGGGTCAGAGTACATCTTCATTTGTTACTCTTTCTGTCCAGTTTATTTTTTCTATTCGTCTCCAACACCACATTTCGAATGCTTCAAGGGATCTTTTTCCTTTTCATTAATAACCCATGTCTTGCAGCCGTATAAAGCAACACTCCATACAAACGTTTTTAAAAAGGTCTTTTTTATTGCTCTGCTAATTTTTCCCGAAACCAAAATTTTCTTTTTCTTGATAAAGGCTGTCTTTGCTTGCCCTATTTTTTGTTTAATTTCCTCCGTACTTCTTCAGTCTGATGTTATTAAACTTCTCAAGTATTTAAAACTAGTAACTTGGGAAATAAGTTTGTTTTCTAAATAAATATTTGCGTTATTTGTGGGTTAACGAGCACAAACTAAAATTTTTGTTTTACCTGAATTTATACGAATTTGATACTTATTTATAATTACTTGCATTTCTGTCAGGGCTCTCTGAAGGTCGTGCTCTGTTTCTTTTAATATTACGATGTCGTCTGCAAATTGGATCGTTGGAATTAATATATCACCCACTTTGATTCTAATGCCAAGCCTGTTAAGTTTATCTTTAACTTCGGTTATGCTTTTTTCTATGTAGTAGTTGAATAATAATGGTGAAAGTGGACACCCTTGTCTTACACCTCTACATATTTTCGCACTAGCTGACTCATTATTTATTGTAATTTCTGTACTTTGATTTTTGTAGATGTTATAAATAATTATCCTGTCTTTAAAATCTAAATTTAATTCTTTCATTATTGAGAATATAATTTGCCAATCTATGTTGTCGAAAGCTTTTTCGATATTTTTAAATGATAAGCATGTGATTTTATTTCGAGATATTTGTTTTTCTATTAAAATCCTCTCTAGTTCCTTTTTATTTTTTGAATTCATACTGATAATTTCCGAGATATTGGTTGGCTTTATTAAATATCCTTCAATATATAATTTTATGTGGGCCACACTGTATATATGAACCTCCAACCTAANAGTATCTTTGAGGCGTGGAGGAGTAAGCTTATAGTTCTAAAATCTGCGCAAGAGTCAGCTTTATTCTTTTTTGGTAATGTTACAATTCTGCTGTTGCAAAAGTCCTTCGGTATTACTTCTGTTTTGTATATATCTTTCATAATATAGTACATCGCGTCTATTATGCTTTCAATTGCGTTTTGTTGTAGTTCTCCAGGGATTTTATATATACCTGGGGCTTTTTTATATTTCAGATCTCTAAGACTGGCATTAAATTCACTTCTTAGTAACGGTGCACCATAAGAGCACTCATCAGTTTCTTCATTGATATCTTCTAACTACTCCCCTTGATATAGTTCTTCAAAGTACTCTCTCCATCGGTTTATCACCTCTTTTGTGCCAAGAGTAATTTACCATTCTTGTTTTTAGTATTATTGTTGCAAAGTTTATTTGTTTTGAGGAAACTTTTAATGGTTCCATAGGCTTGATCTAGCCTATTTGTTTTAAAAAGATGTTTTATTTCAGCACATTGTTGCTCTAGCCATTCTTCTTTTGCTTTTTTTGATTCTCCGTTTATACGGTTTCTTATGTTTCGATATTTTAGTTGTCCTTCCATGTCAGTCCGGTGTTTGTATTTTCGTCTTTTCTCAATTAGGTCTAATATACTTGGGGTGATTAATTTCTGATTAGGTAATTTTCTTTTCACACTTAGTGTGGTTCTTGAGGCGTTTATTATAATGCTTTTTATGTTCCCCTATGTTTTGTCTATTGGTTCTTTTCGTTCATATTTATTGTTGTATATTTTATCCATGTTTTTCTGTAGTTCTTCAACTATTTCCACGTTTTTCAACTTTTTGAGATTATAGTTTGTTTGCTTTCTTTCAACTTTAACGATTTTTTTTTAGTTTTACACAACATTTCATATCCACTATTTGATGGTCACTGTCACAGTCCGCTCCAGAATAAGTTTTACAAGATTTGACTTGATTTTTAAACCGATTCTTTAATAGTATTTGGTCAATCTGATATCTTCCTGTATCACCGGGCATTTTCCATGTGTATCTTCTTCTATTGTGCTCTTTGAATAGTGTATTCGTTATCACGAAACTGTTTTCTCTGCTAAATTCCACTAATCGATCTCCTCTTGCGTTTCTTTGACCTAGACCATATTTTCCCACTTCTCTACTGTCTTTTTCTTCACCTACAACAGCATTCCAGTCTCCCATTATATTAACGTTATCTTTTCCTTTAGTGAGTTTTAGTAGTTCTTATATTCCAGCATATACTTCTTCAATTTCTTCGCCATCGTCTCTTGACGTAGGCATATATACTTGTATTACAAATAAATCATTTGGTTCTGCTTCCAGTTGGATCATAATAATTCTTTCGCTGTATATAATATAATTTGTAACCTTTATTCCCCAGGTTTAATAAAACACTACGCCAATTCCAAATTGTCCGTTTTTTCCTTGGGAATCAATTATTGTATAGTTTGCTGTTCAGAAGTCTCCGCTGTTTAGCCATCTTGTTTCACATAAACCTAGTATTTCTAATTTCATTCTTTTCATTTCAATTATAATACTTTCTAACTTGTCTATTTGGCGCATAGTTCTTATGTTCCACGTCCCTATCATCCAATTTTTCTTCTTCCTACAGCGATTCACCACTTGTACCTCGTGCAGAGTAATTCCCACCCGGAGATCCGATTGGGGAACTATTTTACCTCCGGAAATATTCTTTATTCTGCTTAAGTCCATTGTTTAATCGATGTTATAAACTGTTATTTAACTAGGGAAAATAATGAGATGGTATCCCGTTGCCTTCCTCATCGCAGTGAAATCGCCAGTTATATGGTTCCCATATCTGCCGATTTTATCCGGGTTGTAGCTATTTCTACCATAACTCTATGGTTACCTGCACCTACACCAAGTATTGTAGAGGCTGCTGCCCCCTACAAGTCCCTTTTAGTCGCTTTTTACGACAGGCAGGAACAACCAATGGCGTATTCTACCCCCGACCAACAGGGGTTACCATTATAAACGCTAAATTTATACCCCAAAAAAAACAAAATTAAAAATATTGAAGTATGTGATTAGCGTTGATAATGCTAAAATTATTCTCGAAATACGTAACCACAATTTTTTTAGTAATTTTTGTAGCTTTTGAGTTAAATATTTTTAGTTTTCAATTGATATTTTCAAGAAAATTTTAATTTTAAATAAAACAAATAAGTATTCAACCATTTTAGATCAATATATAAATATTAAGAATATCCTAATCTTTTAGCAGATTCTATTATTACAATGTACTAAGTAAAAAAAGTATTTGAAAAGTTTTCATGCTGTTACATTTAGCTTTATTCTGTATGTGCAACGATCACTAAAAGTTATACATTAAATTTATTGTAATACAGAAAAAGTCTTTTAAACATGTAGGATGACTGTTAGACATTTTAGGACTATAGGAAATTTATAACCACAGGGTCTTAATCTATTCAACAAACAACTGAGATGTTTTTTATTTTAAAGTTTTTTTTTCACATAGCCTTGTTTAAGTGTTCTGAGAGTCCACCATTTTAATAAATAGACCGAATGTGTTGCGCGGGTGGTTATAGCATTAAAATGTAGTAATGAATTGACCGTTCAATAGGACCGTTGAAAAAAGACAATATTGTTAGTAATTTTTTTTATTATTGAGAAGTTTTTGAAACAAGTAATTTTCTATTTACACAATTTTAAAATAGTTTCTGAGAAAATGAGTGTCTTATCCAAAATCAATCTCTCTGTATAGATTATAATTCTTCATTAAAAAGTCTAGTTTTAAAAAAATACTTCTTAAATTTAGTGATGAATGTAATTTACTGTGATTATTGTCATAAAACGTATTATATTTACTTTGCTCCTGATTAATTTTATTTATAACCTTTCTTTTTAATTTATTATTAATTGATGAATGTGATTGTAACAGTGTTATGAAATTTTCTTTACTGGTGGTATATTTAATATTATTCATTATTTCTTGACACTCTCGTGCTTCTTTGGAAGTTATATACTGAAAAAAAATATATATAAATAAAATGAATTTCTTATAATTTTATTAATTATAAAAATTGAAGGTCGCAAAATTTTCTAATTATAATTAAAAATCAAGTCCAAAAAATCATTTTATATTCAAATATTGCTATTTTGAAATCTTCTTTCATAAAAGGGCACCGGTTAAATTTTCAAAAAAGAGTATATCAAAAAAATATATGTCTAAGGTATTTTTCCAAAAATGTTTGCTATGGTTCATACATTTATTAAAAAAAACCAGTACAGGATGCTCGTGGCACAGTGATGACGTGACATGGTTGGGTCAAGGAAAATGATATCTCACTATGATTAAAATCACTATCATAAAAAACACTTCTATGCAAATCTATAGATAGTGTTCAATTTTAAGAAATTGATGGATTATTCCAAAAGTTACATGATCTCCTATTTCCTTATTTATATCTTGATTACAAGTTTTATGATTTATAAATATATCTGTATATTTATAATGTATAAATATAAAAAAGTAAATGGTGTTATTTTTAAAAAAAAGTATGTCGAATGAAAAAGGGCTATAATCCATACACTTTTCAATAAGTTATAGAATTATTAAGTTAAAAATGTAAAATATAAAATCGAGTATCTTCACACAAAAATTGCATTTAGTAACTATTTTCACCGTGAGATAAAATACAGTCCAAAATTTTTTTTACATGATATAGTTTATTACATCAGCTTTAATTTAAGATATATATAAAAGTGTCAGACTTTCCGGAACACTTTTAAAAGTTAAGTTTAAAAAGTTTTTTTTTTGTGAAAGTTGTCATTTTAAATCTCTCCCTATGGCCAGGTAAAGAGTCAGATTTATAAAAAATATATTTAATGATAAGTAAAGACATCATGCATCTATAAAAAAAAAAAAATTATATTGCTTTGGTTATTTTTAAAAAACTTATGACAGTTTTAAGTAAAAAATTATAATGTATAATGTTGTAAAAATTATATGTATAATATAGTTATATTATACATAATATAACTTTTTTTATAAAATAATAATTACTGAAAATTGTTTATAATCAGTCTCATTGACTTCGTTTTCGGAAGAACTGGTTTCAGAAGAATTTTCTGCAAAACAATAACCTAAAAAAATCATGACAATAGTTATTGAATTCATTTTATTAAAATATACTGCGATATTATTATGTGATGTGTAAAATTGTACTTCGTTTGATAAATTTCTGAGAACTATTGAATTTAAAATAAAAAAATACACACATTATATAATTTCATGTATTAAAATAACAATTATTATACAAAAAGTGCGATACTTATGTCACCACTAACTATATAAAAACCTAAGGAAGAGAACATATGATACTTGTATATTTATTCAGTGTATACCAAATAACAACAGAGATGATTACAATTTTTTGGATATACCTTTTTACAGAATTATAATTATTAAAAGTTTTTCATTAACTTAGATATTAAGTTATAGCAATGAGATTAAAAAAAAAAATTAGTTTTAATATTTTGCAATAAAAAATATCTAGCACATAATTCACTAAAGNATTAAATATTAAGTTATAGCAAAGAGATTTAAAAAAAAAATTAGTTTTAATATTTTGCAATAAAAAATATCTAGCACATAAGTCACTAAAAATTCTTGGGATGTATTATACAATTTTTCAATTGATTTAACGAGTGATAAAAAAAATTTGAAGAGTACAAATCCTTTAAAGGGAAAATCGACTGATCTGGTGACTTCCTAACTTATGTTTCTGAATAATTATAAGGCTTATATTTTTCAGTATCTGAGCTAATTCAATTGATAATAAAAAAAAATATTTAATATAGAAGTTTCATATACAAATAACAAAAAATATCATATTTCCACATTTTAATTTTAATTAGAAAAATTTCCTAGTTCTCTACTAATTTTTATAATAATTAATATTTTAAATAATTTATATTCATTATATTTGTTTTAGCTATTGCAGTAAAAACCAGTAAAGACCTTATGCCCTATACATTGTTATAATCTTGAAAAAAGTTGTAATTGTGATACAATAAAAGAACAAACAAGTAAGTGTTCAGTTAAATTATTTTGGATACATTTATGATGTTGGGATAACATATTAGAAAATATTTCCATAAAAAGTTCGTAAATAAATTATTTTACCATAATAAATGATAATTAAAAAAAGAATTTCTGCATTGTAAGACTGCTACAATTTTTTTAAAAACATTAATTGTATTGAAATTTTAATAGATTGTACTAGTATCCAGAAGTTTAATTTTGGTATGCATTTTATGAAAAGCTAATATAAAATCTAAGTACTAAGAATTTTGAAATTCATGTAAAACATTATTTTATTTTCAATTTTGAAAATTTTTTGGAAGTCTCACGATTTTTAAGACATATCAAAAGTAAAGCTCTTAAAGTGTGCTGCTATATTAGAAATAATAATAATTTTTTAAAAAATATTATATTAAATTTTTGTAATAAACCAGTAGGATGATCTTGTAAGGGTGATCTCGTAGGTTGAACATAATTCATTGTTTTAGTTGTTTTTAATGATTTATTACGTTAGAGGTTGTTAATGATTTGAAAGTATAAATTAAATTTGTACTTACCTTAAAATATCATATCATATAATAATATTTGCACTAATTCATTGTTGATAACATTTTCCGTTTATTGAATGCACTGTGTACACGTTTCACACTACTTATTGTATAGTCTACATAAATATTTATGAAAACGATTTAATTTTAAATAATATGAGTTCGTTACATAAAATCTGAGACTAAGTTTTGTATGTTAAAGTCTCTAAACACTCTCTATACGTTTTATCAAAACTATAACTTTTATAATGTACCCTTATTTTCAAGGATGGGCAAGTATTTCGAATTATTAACTAAAATTAAGTTATGTTAAGTATGTGCAATGTCGATAAACTTACAATTAAAAGCTACCAAATTAAAAATTTAACTAGCTAAGTTAAAAGATAAATTAAAATACTTCTATAGCTTAACAAGTCTGGAAAATGTTTATTTCAATTATTATTAATTTTTCAACTAAAATTTCTCAAATATCATTTTTTATTGGTCGATAATGCGAAGGAAATATTAGAATAGTTTTTCAACTGAATAGAAGAAAATATTAATAATATCAAACATTTTTTTTATTCGTTTCGGTATTAGTTGCACTGTTTTGTCTTTAAAACTATTTATGAAATAAAAATTAGTTAAAAATCACATACACTTTTGAAAAAATTCAGAAAATTATATTTATTGTTATATAAATATAATATTTGAGATAGAGAAAAATTCGATTTTTTTTTTACATAAACTACTAAGCAGTGTATAAAGACATACATTTTTTATGAAATTTTAAATTTAGCTTAACTATTGCTTTAACAAATCAACTGAAAAGAGCTAAGTTTTTTCAGTAGAATATTAAATAACAGAAGTTAAAAATTTTATTAGAAAAAAATTAACTACATAATTAAAAATTGATCTATTGTGTTATTAATTAAGTAAAACAATATTTTAAAATATTATTAATATAAAAACTAAAAAATAATAAAAATATGAAACTCAAAAGCCACAAAAATATTACTGAAAGTCGCGGATATTTAGGAAACAATATTACTATGTTATGAATATGTGTTTAGCTTTGATAATGGTAACATTGTTTCCGAAAAACGTATCCGCGACTTTTCAGTAATTTTTTGTGGCTTTTGAGTTTAATATTTTTCAGTTTTTAAATTAATAATATATTTAATATAGTTTTAATTTTACTTAAATATTAACTAGTTTTGTTGGTAAGTACAAAAAAATAACACTTTAACTTAACTTTAACTTTTTTAGTAGTTNAATTAACCAGTTTTGTTGATAAGTAAAAGAATGAAATGGTATTTAATTTATTTTACAAATTAAAAAATTAATTTTTGATTACAATTCGTTTCTGTATTAAATAACAATTTAAAAATTTATATAAATATCAATATATACAAAAATAAACATATTTCTTTCTATGTACTATTTAGTATGTGTACGATTAGTCGTAGTTATGTTTCTAACCTTAATTTCAGTTGTACTGGTGATGCAGTGTTCATTGATGTAGGAGTTCAAATATAGTTGATATTCGTGTGTATTTATTCGCTGTTCTCTCAAACATAGTTTGTTGATATTTCCATTTTAATTCATCATAAAAAATCTTATTGTTACTTGTTAGTTTTTTATTTTAGAGAGAAAACGAAAAACAAAAGTGTTCATTTTATTTAATACATAGATATCATAACCAACCAACTATTTTATCTTCTTATCACTTTGTTAGGTATGACAACATTTTTCCAGCGCCGCCACCACATAATGTGAATGTAAAAGTCCCACACGACGTTGCCGCATATTATACAATAATACGAGTAATAATACAATAATAGTACATTTACAATATTTCATCTAAACTGTACCATTACAAGAAAATAACACTTTAACTTAACTTTAACTTTTTAAGTAGTTAATGTCCACCATTGAAGCCCTTTCTCTGGATTANGAACATAAGGTTTTGACGTGTTTTTCTTAGTAATTATTTTCTGTGTAATATTGTTTTAGGTGTGAAACATGAAACATACCCCTAACAATACTTTTACCTTTATTTTCACTACTCACTATGTATGTGAATTTTTGTACTTTTTTCGTTATTGTAAATGGGCCTTCAAAAATAGGCATTAATTTTGCAGCTCTATTTTTGTTTTTACAACTAAGATTCAATGATTTTATTAATACTCTATCACCTACCTTAAACTCTTTTAGTTGTGTCTTACCTTTGTTAGCTTTTTCTGCTCTCTGCATTCCTTTTTCCTTTAAGCGTTCATTCAACAGTTTTCTCAATTGCTCTTCTGATATACTTTCGATCGTATTTACACACTGGTCTAGCCATTGGTTCCACAATCTTTCTGGTAATTTATTAAATTGTACTTCATACGGTGTCATCTCTAATGTACTATGATAAGTTTCATTTAGAATTTTTTCAATGACACTAATATTTTTTACCCATCCATTATGTTTTTCGCCTACTAAAATTCTTAAATATATAGTCACGTCTCTATTTGTTCTTTCGGATAAATTTCCTTGTGGGTGTCTTATTGATGTAAGTATATGATTTATGTTTTTGTCTTCCATAAATTCTTTCCATCTTTTAGCTGTAAAAGCTGTTCCATTATCTGTTAACAGACTCTCTGGTTTTCCTACTTCGCTAACATACTTTTCTATTGCTTTAATTGCTTGTCTAGTACTAGGGCTTTGTGTTGGGTATAATTTAACGTATTTGGAAAAATTGTCAATACATACTAAAATATACTTCAATCCTCGACTGCCTGTGGGAAAAGGTCCAATATAATCTATTGACAGTAGTTTTAATTTCCTATCCACATCTATAAACTGTGTTAATGCCTTAGATGTAGGTGAAGGTTTATTTTTCTGACATACATCACAAATTTTAGTCATTCTTTTAATTTTTTTTCTTAATTTTTCACCTGTAAACGATTCACTTATAAGTCTAAAACACTTATTTGATCCAATATGATTATAGGTTATGTGAATTGATTTAATTAATTGTTCGATTTTGTGATTTGGTATTACAGCTAACCAGCGTTTTCCTACTAGTTTGTACATTATCTTATTTACTAGTTTATAATTTTGATGTTCTTCAATGTTGTTTGTATATTTTTTAATTTGGACGTCTTCTTGTTGGATTTTGTGTAGATTTTTTAACAAATCTATGGTATCATGAGGTAACTTTATTAAACTTATTTTAAACGCTTTTTCGAAATTTTCTGCTTCGTCTCTATCAGGTGGATTGCGACTTAATGTATCTGGAATAACATTTTCTGGTCCTGGAATGTATTCTATTTCGATATTTAATGGTTGTAAATAAAGTAACCAACGTGCAATTCGTTGTGTAGGATTCTTACATGAATTAAGAAACAATAATGCTTTATGGTCCGTAATCAAAATTATTTGATAACCTGCAATCATCTCATAAAATCTTCTAATTGCATGTATTACTGCGAGTAATTCTTTTTCTGTAGTCGTGTAGTTTAATTCACTTGGTTTCATGCTTTTACTTGAGAAGGCTATTGTACGTATACTACCATCATTCCCTTTTTGGTACAAGTGTGCTCCCGTGGCATAGTCTGAACTATCTGTTTGCAAGTAGAATTTAGTACTATAGTCAGGATGCCAAAGTTCGATCTCTTGTAGTAGTAACTCTTTAACGCGTTCAAACGCCTT